TGCAAGCTATCAAGGAAGGAAAGATCAAGCCATCTTTCGCAGGTATTTATACAATTAAATCTAATGATTCATCTCATGCTATTTCTTGGGTCCTCGATACCGGGTGTGGTTACCACATTTGTTCTGAATTGCAGGGACTAAGAAGAAATAGGGATGTGGAGCATGGAAGAATAAATCTAATCATGGGGAACAGAAGATCGTCGCCTGTGACCAAGATTGGAGTATATTCTCTGGTGCTTAGGAATGGTTTATGTTTAGATTTAAATAATTGTTGCTACTCGCCAGAAATGGCAAGAAACATCATTTCGTTTCATGGTTTGTTTAGACAAGGATTTAGATTTTCTTTTAATAATGAGAATGGTTCAATTTATGCTTATCTGAATGGTGTCTTATATTTTGAAGCAATGCCATGTAATGGAATTTATGAAACTGTTATGATTGTAGATAACCTAGGAAATGATGTTTTATGCATGGATTCGTCCAATAGTATGGATAAAGCATGTTTGTGGCATTGTCGTCTTGGACATGTCAACAAGAAGCGCATAGCCCAACTCCAAAAGGATGGAGTGTTGGAGTCATTCGACCTTAGGGAAGATGACACGTGTGAGTCTTGTTTACTTGGAAAGATGACCAAGTCACCCTTCACTGGTTCTTGTGCAAGGGGTGAGGGTTTGTTGGATCTCATACATACCGATGTATGTGGACCCTTTAGATCCACCACAAAGGATGCGAACCGCTTCTATGTGACTTTCACCGATGATTATAGTAGATATGGGTATATTTACTTAATCAAGCAAAAGTCAGAAACGTTTGAAAAGTTCAAAGAATTCAAACATGAAGTGGAGAATCAATTGGGCAGGAAAATCAAGATGCTTCGATCCGATCGAGGAGGAGAGTACCTAAGTCTTGAATTCCACGATTATCTTAAAGAATGCGGAATCGTTTCGCAATTGACGCCACCTAGGACACCGCAGTTGAATGGTGTGGCAGAAAGGCGTAATCGAACCTTGTTGGACATGGTTCGTTCTATGATGAGTCGTGCTTCACTACCTATCTCTTTCTGGGGGTATGCCTTAGAGACTGCCGCCCATATCCTTAACCTAGTCCCTACGAAGAAGGTTGCCAAAACACCTCACGAGATGTGGACAGGGAAAGCTCCCTCGTTGGCACATATCAAGGTTTGGGGTTGCGAGGCTTTCGTAAGACGAGATACTCACGACAAGCTCGAACCTCGTAGTGAGCGATGTATTTTCATCGGCTACCCGCAGAAATCCTTTGGATATCTCTTCTATAGACCAAGTGACAATGTTGTCTTCGTTGCAAGGAGAGGGGTTTTCCGAGAGCGAGAACTCATAAGCCAAGGAGACAGTGGGAGGCAAATCGAGCTTGAAGAGATTCAAGAGTCGAGTGATGAAGGAACCTCTACCGCTGGCACTCAACCCGAGGAGGAAACTCCGGTTGAACCAATTGACAAGTCCTTACCTCTAAGACGTTCCGAAAGAGTTAGAGTTCAACCCCAGTTATATGGTTTTCATATTACTACCGAAGGGGATACGTATATTAGTGATGGTACACTAATAAATCTAGATGAACCTAAAAGCTATAAGGAAGCCATGGCAGGCCCGGAGTCTGCGAAATGGAAGGAGGCAATGGACAGCGAGATTCAATCCATGTATGATAACCAAGTTTGGAATTTGGTTGATAATGTGCCCGGACGTAAGACCGTTGGGTGCAAATGGATCTTCAAGAAGAAGACCGACGTGGATGGAAATGTACACACATATAAGGCGCGATTGGTTGCGAAGGGCTTTACTCAAACTCCCGGAGTTGACTATGATGAGACCTTCTCACCAGTTGCGAAAATAAAGTCTATTAGGGTGATGCTAGCCATTGCTGCATTTCATGATTATGAAATATGGCAGATGGATGTCAAGACCGCTTTTCTTAATGGAAAGTTGGCTGAGGATGTTTACATGGCTCAGCCAGAGGGTTTTGTCGATACGAAGCATCCGAATAGAGTGTGCAAGCTTGAGAAGTCCATTTATGGGCTTAAGCAAGCGTCTCGCAGATGGAATCTTTGTTTCGATGAGAAAGTCAAAGAGTTTGGATTTGTACGAAGCGAAGATGAATCATGTGTATATGTCAAAGCCAGTGGGAGTATAGTTAGCTTCCTCGTTTTGTATGTCGATGACATACTACTCATAGGAAACGACGTCCCGACACTGCAGGAGGTTAAGTACTGGCTCGGAAAGTGTTTCGCTATGAAGGACCTCGGAGAGGCTTCCTATATTTTGGGAATAAGGATAGTGAGAGATCGAAGTAAGAGACTAATAGGACTTAGTCAGAACACTTACTTAGATAAAGTACTAAAACGTTTTAGTATGGAAAATTCGAAGAAGGGAGAATTACCGATACAAAGTAATGCCAAGTTGAGTAAGACTCAAAGTCCGAGTACAGAAGCTGAGATAGCAGAAATGAGCCGAGTTCCATACGCTTCCGCAGTTGGCTCAATCATGTATGCTATGACTTGTACTCGCCCTGATGTAGCCTTTGCTTTGAGCATGGTTAGTAGATATCAAGGGAACCCTGGCAGAGCCCATTGGATTGCGGTCAAGAATATACTTAAGTACCTTCGGAGGACGAAGGAATGGTTTTTAGTCCTCGGAGGGAGTGATGACTTGAAGGTGCGAGGGTATAGTGACGCCAGTTTTCAGACCGACAGGGACAACTACCGTTCGCAGTCGGGCTGGGTCTTTACCCTGAATGGAGGAGCAGTTACTTGGAAAAGTTCCAAGCAGGAAACAGTAGCTGATTCAACGTGCGAATCAGAGTACATTGCAGCAAGCGAAGCGTCAAAGGAGGCAATATGGTTGAAGAACTTCATCGGTGATCTTGGAGTTGTACCTGCCATACAGGAGCCTATGGAAATTTTCTGTGATAATGAAGGAGCGGTTGCCTTGACAAAGGAACCGAGGGATCATGGTAGATCTCGTCATATCGACAGGAAATATCACTTTATTAGACATCGAGTAGAAGAAGGACAACTCGTGGTCAAGAGGATATCATCAGAAGATAACCCAGCAGATCCGCTTACGAAGGGACTGAGCAGGGTTAAGCACTTGCAGCATGCTAGGAGTGTTGGGCTGAAGGATGATATTAGTTTAGATTAGATAGTATTAGAAACATATAATAGATAAATGTAATTAACATTTGATGATTAAATAAAGGAGTATTATTTATGAGTAATGTTACTGTCTTATGTTAATTGTTTGACTATTGTTTCACTTTGCATGTTTTGACTTCCAGAATAATTGAGTTATTAAGAATAATTGAATTATTCGAATGATCCACAATCGTTCATATGTTGGAAGTAGATATGAAAGAAGATTGTCATGAATTGGTATGTAGATTGTCTAAATGGTATTAGACATAGCAAAGGTTTGCTGCAACATTCATGAGTGCTTATGAACAAGTTTTGAGCATTGGAATAAACCCGCGCTTGCTGGAATCACTTTATGGAATGTGACAAAAGTGATCGCAAGACGATAATATCATATGGTCTTAAAACCTAGATATATGGTTTATTATTTACTAATTGGTTGTGCATTGATAATGCGAAACCGCATCAGTAAATTGATGTTATAAAACGCATTGTTGTGTATAGCTGATTAGTGGATAAGTAAATGCATATAAGTCGAAGTTTATCTGTTACTTTTATCCTAAGAGGGTAAAAGCGATATCACGGCCGCTCGATGATTTGATTTGACTTATGTGCCGGGCCCGGTCAGGACTGAATTGATGTGTTCAATTAAGTTCTATGTCAAATGAATCTGAGATCGAGAAACCAACTGCTGGACAATTAGTTCCGTAAAAATTGTCCGCACAATATCTAAACAGAGGACTGTACGATCCCTTATCTAAAGGACAGGTTACTGATGAGATCAGAGTTCGACAGCGTCTTTGAGAGCTACGATTGCTAATCGAGTTGCACGTTACATTTGTGGTTACTAGACTTATCCAAGTGGGAGACTGTTGGATTAGTGTCTAAGCCCGTAACCATATTTGGTAAATACTTGACCCGGTTGTGCATGGTCCTTTTGGGTTGCCTTCACCAAAGCAACTTGACTGGAGAAATTAAATAGAGAGAGAGGTTATTATGATTTATTAATATGTTATAAGAATAATATATTAAAAGAAAAATCATATTTGATTAATTAATATTGGTCAATAATTAATTAGGAATTAATTTTGTGATCAAGTGTAATTAATTAAACTAGAGGGGCTGAATTGTAATTATGTGATAGTTGCAAAATAGGGCAATGGTTATCCTTGTTAAAGGATGGACGAATTCAAGGATAAGGATATCCTTAAAATCGTCCAAGGTCCAAGAGATAAGGGTTTTCAAGGCTTATCTTGTGGTTGCTTGGTGGGCAAGTAACTGGATAAGGATAAGGACTGAAACCCTAATCCCAACCCTATATAAAGACCCCTAAGGCCTTAGGATTTCGTCCACTTGATCCCTAGAGCATCTAAGGACGATTTCTACCTCCTCCCTTCTCTCTCTATAGCCTCTCCAATTGCTTGTGGTGTTTGTGAGCCATTAGAGGCACTACACTTGTGGTGCTTGCTTTCAAGACTAAGGGTTTGAAGATTTAAGTTGTTATTGCAATATAACAACAAGAGGTATGTGATCTAACCTTATATATGAATTTCGAAAATAGCATGCTACATTAGGGTTTTATCCATGTGTTCATAATGTTGTGTATCTAATAGTGAAAACATAGATCCAAATTAGGGTTGCATGCACACATAGGATTGTTTGTACAAAACCTATCAGATTGAACACATGTAAAAACTTATACGTATTAATGCAATGGTTGTTTGTACTCTGATTACTATAATGCATGTGTTGTGATACTACAAATGAAGTCATCCACCCCCGGACGTTTCCGCCGTCAGGTTTGGGGGTGTGACATAGGCACCCCTGGTATCCCTTTGGATTAGTGTGTATCGTCATCAAGGATATTTATTGCCTCTTCACTAGAGGGAATCATAGTTGCAATAAAGTTGGTGGCAAGCTTGCATCGGCGACAGCGGTCGGCAATGGTTCTCCTTTTGGCCACATCAGAAAGAGTTGCAAGGCTCATAAGTCCTCTTTTCCTAGTCACGCAGGACGTCGCACCCGCCAAAATTCCTTTTTTGTTATCCTCCACACTCTCTAAACTCTCAGAAAGGACGGGAGTAGGAAGCACGACAAGGGGCGCGACATACAGGTTGCCAGGCGAAGGCATCTCGCCAGTAGGGATTGAGTGTGAAGGCACCGAGACAGCAGGAGTAGTGAACCCTTGAGCATATTTCCGACTGGGATGAGGAAGGCTGTCTCGAAGAGCTACTGGCCTAAACTACAAATCCCCTTGGAACTTCCGCCCTAGCAGATCAGGGAAAGACAACACCTGTTTCTCCCTAAAAGACAATCATCCCCTGTTTTATGTTCCTTTTCAAGAAGAATAATAAGAAGAAGATAGGGACGAAGGAAGAGAATAGGAACGAAAATGAAAATGGAAAGTTAAAAACAAAAAATATTACCTCCATTAACAACGAAAATTCAGACTGCTCTTGACGCCCCCGCCACACGATGCTCATCCCCGCACCGGCACTAATGCATTCAAGAAACTCCTCGGGAACAACGATGAAGCTCTCCAGAAGGTGAATAGTTTCTTGGTCCCGACCAAGTAGTTTGGGGGCGCTATCAGAAGTCACTTCAGTACGAATGTAGGGACCTCCAACACGAGAACTATTCACCCATAACCAATGATTTTGCCAGTTCTCCGGGCTGATCTTCTCGTCAGGAACAAGGACGTGAGCATTCTTCCGGGTGTAGAAAGTAAATTTGTCACCGACAGTAAAAAAGTGGAAGAAGTTCTTGAACACTGGGAGGCTTGGAAGAAAGTCTTGAGATTGACACATCATCTCGAAAGCAACGACCTTGTTTAAAGCATTAGGAGTAAGGTCATAAACATTGATCCCGTTCTTACGAAGCACCGCATCGAGAAAATCAGTGGTCGGAAGTCGATAGCCAACATCAAAGGTACTAACATAGACACCACCTTTCCCGGAGGAGGTTCAAGAAAGGAGGCTTCGTCCAAAGGAATAAGTATTCCGTCCTCCATCTGAAAACTGTATTTCTCCCGAAGAGTCTCAGCATACTCAGAGGTCGGGATAACACCATGGGAAGAAATCATGTTAACAGGGAGAGCCATCTTCTTTGAAAGGTAAAGAACGGAGGAAGAAGAAGAAAATTGAGTAGGAAAGAAGAAAACATATAAAGAGGAAGGCGGGTATTTATGGATAGAGATCAAGGCAAATCAAACGCCTAGAAAAAGCAGGACAGTTTTCAGAGGCAATAACTGCTCGACGAGGAAGAAATCAACACGTACGTTTATGAGTCTAGCATATGATGACTCGCTATGCCACCTCATCACTACTAGACTAGGGGGCTTGATGACGTACCCCATAGTGGTCCGTCGTAATGCGATTAAACACAATGGCATCCAGTCGTGGCAAAGCGACCATTAGCTTGAATGCATCAAGGGAGAAACAACTAGACGACACTAACTGACTAGGCCGGGACCCAGCAGAAACCAATATCGAGGCTAAATCTTGACGAGACAGACGAGAGCGTTGGCTACCCCCAACAGCCAGCATCATACATAAGAAGACTCCTTAATCTCCACATAAGGCCGTGAGCTGGCGTACGGAAGCAGGCGTCAATATGGTCGTGCACATGCCACTACCATTGATTCCCTCTTCACCAATCAGGACAGGGGACGATTCAGATAGGAACATGTTGACCAATGGAAGCCCGGTATGCCAAAAACGGTTGCTATGGCCCCCCTTCGACCAAAAAGCGCTAACTATATAAGAAACGTCGAGGATCGCTAGAGGAGATATGTTCTTTCTAGACTCTTTCACTAAGATACCACCAAAAAGCTTTAATCAGTCCGTTGGCTAGAGCGTTGGAGTGTCCTCCTGGAGAACGTCTAATGTGTTTTTCGATTGTGACTACAGGTTCCATTTGGGAGATTCCTTACCCAGCCGGTGTCACGCATGTGGAATGACATCACAACATATATATATATATATATATATATATATATAATAATATATAGATATATATATATATATATGAACCTAGCTCCCTATATGGGCTAGGTTATAATGTGGATGGAAAACTATTGAGGGGACGTGTGGACAGTGCTATTCTATGAGAATTACTAAAAGAATAGGTTGTTTAGTAATGCGAATACGTTAAACCTCACACAACTATTATCATTTTCATGCATTCTTACTAATTCTTATTCATTTTTGTTCTCACACATCGTTTTTCCATTATTTTCATTCTTACAAAATACGACTCAATAAACATTCTGACAGAATGAGAATAATAAAAAAAGGTCTATAATAACCTTATAGACGATTTAATTAGTGAGAATGCGTGATAATGAAAATAGTTATGTAAGATTGAACATATTCATATTATTAAACAACATATTTTCTTTGTCATTCTCACAGAATAACATTGTCCACACGTCCGCACAATAGATGTTAATCCACATTTGAACCTAGCTCACAATATATTATATATATATATAATATATATATATATATATATATATATATATATATATATATAGAAGTAGGATCAAATGAGAACATCAAAAAGGTTGAGAACGCGAGAACAAAGTATATTCATGTGTGATTCCATGTATTCATTTGTGGATAAATGATAAATTTTTACGCTTTTAATTTCAATTGAAGAGAAAAAGCATATTCATGTTGATTGTGCGCAAAAATCTATCATTTCTCCACAAATGAATACATGGAATAAAAAGTGAATATACTTGTTCTCCCGTTCTCAACCTTTTAGGTGTTCTCATTTGATCATTTCCCTATATATATATATATATATATATATATATATATATATATATTTGTATATATTATATATATATATATATAATATATATATATCTATATAGAGAGAGAGAGAGAGAGTTAGGTTCAAATGTTTCTACTATCTATTGTGTGCATGTATGATTGATTCTGGACCAATCATTTTAGTTATTTTAAGTAAGTAATTAATGCATATTAAATGCTGAAGATATAATTAATACTCATTATATATTCAGCATGTAATATGCATTAACTGCTTTATTAAAATAACTAAAATGATTGATCCACAATCAATGCTACATGCACACAATAGATATTTAGAACACAATAACCTAACCTTATATATATATATATATATATATATATATATATATATATATATATATATATATATATATATATATACATATATATATGTGTGTGTGTGTGTGTGTGTGTGTGGATTATCGAGCACTCAATGCCATCACCATTAAATATAAATTCCCCATCCTGAGGAATTGCTTGATGAATTATATGGTAGTAGGAGATTTTCGAAGCTTGATTTGAGAAGTGGCTACCATCAGATTCGGGTGTTTGAAGATGATATACACAAGACTGCATTTCGAACTCACCAGGGCCATTACGAGTTAATATGCCCTTTGGTTTCACTAATGCTCCAGCCTCATTTCAGGCTTTAATGAATGAGGTTTTCATGGATTATATGAGGAAATTTTTACTGGTTTTTTTCGATGACATCTTGATTTACAGTGACAGCCTAGATAGCCACTTGCAACACATGAGGATAGTGTTTTAAACTTTACTTTTATATATATATATATATATATATATATATATATATATATATATATATATATATATATATATCATTACCTATATGTTAAAGGTTTGAGCTTTGGTCCACGTCGATGAGCAGCTTCCGTCCTCCAATCTTATGTCTGATGGGCGACCTTTTTTAACGTATATGGCGGTGAGCACCTTGGCTGCCTGTCTCACCGTGGTGGTTGCCTGTGTCACAACTTCCGTCGACCAATAGGAAGGTTTCCGACAATGACTTTTAACCTATACGATGGTAAGGACCTTATTGCTTCACATTTCCTTCTTGGCGGTGGTTTTTCCTAAAGTTGCTTGCCACCTACTTGGTTTGAAACGTCCATGAAACGTGCCTCTCTGCCGATGCTAATTCCTTGTGGAGTCACCCTCTATTAAAGACCTCCAGTCGCCACCTCCTGTTGTGGTTTTCAAGGATACCGATTTCAATATATACCGACTTCATCTCATTCTTTTCATTCTCTTGGATTTTTTTCTACTTCTCTCTCTCTCTCTCTCTCTCTAAACAATGCTTTGGGTGAGTTGTTTCGACCTCAAATCGAAGCTACAAAATTAGGGCTTTTTTATTTTCTTGCTTTTTTTTTTGCTGGATTTTGGGTCAATCTTCAAACAAAGCTTGGCCGGTTTTATTTGTTTTAACAATTTGAAATAGTTGTATCGATTCCCCTCTCCTATATAACATCGATCCCCCATCCTCTGTAGAACTGTTTTTTTGGTTGAGTTTGGAAGAGGAAGGTATATACAAGTTTCTCTTATATCGGGACAGCTGACGTCGTCGTCAAGGGTAACTCAGTCGCTGGAAACTAGGAAATTTGATTTACCAACATCGTGATTGACTTAATCTTCAGATCACTACAACTGAGAAGCAGGTGGATGAGGGGATTGGTACACGCCGATGACCAACTTCCTCTTCCAATAGAGATGTTGTGGGCGGCCATTTTTAACATATGCATTCGTCAGCAAGTTTGCGTAACACCGCCTCATACAAACTAATAGATACTAGCTTCGTCTTGTAAGCTAAAACATGTCGCCGTTGCGTTCAGCCGTATTTTAATCCAATTGAAGTGAGCGACCTTTTTTTCCGTCCAATTAGCTTTTTTACTCCTTTTCTTCTCAATGTGAGTAAGGAAACTTAAAAGGTGGGTTTCATTAATTGTGGCTGACTCATGCTTATTTAGAGCCCGAGTCATCCTCTACGACTTTAGCTCTCGACACGAGATTGATAATTTAGTATTGCTTCCCTCCTCACAATAAGCGACACCTCTGTGGGTTTCTACTTCACGTCTTCTGCTTATATCTTTCACAGGGTCCAGGCAGCTGACGTCCCTCCCTCATACCTAAGAACACGATTGAACCCTAATAATTTCTAATTTGGTTGGGTTTATGTTACTCACGACTTAAGAGTGTGAATGCTTTTTCGATCTGTCATGGGTAATTGATCGGAAGATTTTGATAGTTGATTGTTCATGAGTAATTGATCGGAAGATTTTGATAGTTGATTGTTCAGAAGATCAATTTCTCAGTTATCTCCACTTTTATTTACAGTTCGGCAGCAATACCCTTAACAATGTGAGTTCCCTTTTTCTGGTTTATGTATATATTGATTAAGTTTTACTTTAATTGACGTGTTGAATTACTTGTTTTAAGTTTGTAAACTATTATGAATCTTTGTGATTATCGATCTTAGCTAGGGCTCTACCTTCGACTATCAAAATCAATAACAATGGTAGTAAGAAGAGTTGCAGAAGCCATAAAGTCCAAAGATTGACTATACTAGGTGGAGCCCGTGTTGGAAATCAGCCTTCCTTGACCCTCCTGCAAACAACCCCAGAACATACACCCTGAAAACGACTATGATATATTGCTCAAGGTTATTGGGTTTTCTCACTTCTATATTACTTTCAACAAGAAAACTGATTACACTGTTAATGAAAACTATCTAACCTATTTATAGACTACATGCTACATACAATAAAAATAACAAAATACCTAGCCCACGTACATCTTTATTGTCTCCATAAAACCTGCCATGCATATATATCTCACAATACGCGGTCAACCAAAGACTCAGTAAACCCACTACCTCTTCTTTATTTACTTATTAACCCCTGAGACTAAATCAAGCAGGACCATGATCTGTGACCCATAACTCGATCCATCTCCATGCACTTAACCCATCAAGATTACCCTAACATTCACCCCATAATCTTGATGCCTATCGAGGTCTCGGCTCTTATGATCATAATCACGAACCACAGTCTCGGTCTTAATGTGAATCTTCGGTCATTTGATTCAACATGTCGGTCTTCTTCTATTGAAATGTCGGTCTTCTTCTATTGAAATGTCGGTCTTGACAACCCTCCGGTCACGTTTGTCCTTTTCGGTCTCGAACAAATCTGTCTTGAACAAATCTTACTAGATGCCTCCCGGTCTTTTGTGGCTCCTCGGTCTTCGATCTTCTCTTGCTAGTTCTTGCTAG